TTTTTTTTTTTTTTTTTTTTTTTTTTAATTGCTCCAATCTGTTCGTGGGGAGCATCACGTGCTGGGAACCGGGCCCAGCGTCCCTTATAATGGAAATACATTAATGATTGGCAATTGATAAAAACTTAGGATGATTGAGGATCATTTTGGATGATTTAGGATGTCAGAGTGGGTGATTGAGGTCATGAAATAGAGCTAGATGATGACTAATCAGAAAGATTGTCTACTCAGCACTGAATTACTATCCTATCCCTAATTTCCTGTATCCATTCCAAACAACCAATCACAATTGAGCCCGTGTTGTGCACCAATCAGGCCTCTTCCCGGTCTCACACCCCAATCTGGCTCGGTTACAGGGCAGCGCTACCCACCCCAGCTCCGACCATCGTTGGCCAGATTGTAGCCATTACTCAAGTTTGCAGATCGCCTTCCTCCCTCGGCAATTCCAGACCTCTATACAAAGCCTCAAGCTCATACACAAGCAGGTTACAGGGCACTGCCCCAGCGCCGGCTAGCGTCGTTCTGGCGCCAACTCAACCTGGCCATTACACAAGAGGACTCAATTAGGAAATTAGCTAATCTAGAATGCCAACCAGAAATCAAGGATCTGATAATATCAGAATCTTGATCAACAAAACTTTCTGATGATGAAATTTGACGAGTACCCTGAGATAATCACAAAGATGATGGATAATGATGACGACGCTGATTATTATTTCTCTCCACCCCCCCCCCCCTTCTTCCATGTATTCTCCTCCTCTCTCCTCATTTCCTCTTCTCCTCTCGCTGCCTCCGCTGAGCCGAACCCCGCTATCAGCATGAAGTTCCTATCAGCCCCAACGAGAGAGAGAACCTCCCCATTCCCTTCTACCTTGAGGTAACTAGTTCCCCCAAAAGGTCAGCCTCCGCCAGGAGATAATGCGCCCCCATACATATCTCCCAGCCCCAACCTAGGTCAGCTCCCATCATCTGCATCTGCTCCCTGGAGGGCAATCACCTCCCACCTTGTGTTACCCCTGCGGAGTAGCGCTCCCTTCTTGACCAACCTACCTACCAACTAGACCATAGCCTATCTGGGAGATGAGAATATAATAAAAAACACAGAGATTATCACTGATTGATGAAAAAAAGAATAACAAAACCGTGAGGATGATGATAATGATTGATGATGATGATGATGATGATGATGATAAAAATTCATATTGGTAGATGATGATGATGATGATGATGATGATGATGATGATGATGAAATAAAATTGGCGAAAACAAATAAAGAACGTTGGACTTGCGATACCCTAATGGCATCGGTGTGGAAGATAGACAACTCGCTATTGCTGTAATGAAAATAGAAGATGACGATGATTACGATTTTTACAGAGAAGTCTGGATGATGACCATGAAGAAGATAAAAAGAAGATAAATAACATGGATGACGAATTAGAGCAGCCGATGATGATTACCACTGGTAACCAAATGAGGATTACAAAAATGACGGTGTCCTTGATGAAACCCCCCCGCTGAAATGACAATGATGACAATCTTGATGCTCTTCATGGATAACTTGCACAAGACAAAAAACAGACTAAAGCACATATATAAATTGATGATGACCTCCTAACCGCTCTCTTGATGATACTCTCCCAGTGGCACTGTGATGGTTCTTCAAGTAGGACCAACGTTCTTCGCACTTTGGTCTCCACGGGGCTGACTCCACTTTCCTCCACCGATATCGACTTTCGTCAACTCGCATGAGCTCTCCAGCCTCTTTAAAGGTCTTGGCTATGGAGTACTTCATGTGAAAAACACAGGGAAAATGTTCAAACAGCAGCTGCCGCTACCATTCTCCCTTTTCCTCTGTGCCTCAGGCCAGATGCCACGTCAGTCTGTGACGTAGTAATGACCCAGCGCCTCTAGATACCGCGCGTGCGTCAAGCGCTAACCCCCATCTACTTCACAACATCACAGCACTCTCGCACCAGCGCCTCCCTCCCGTCGTCTGCCAGCACCGCGCCACGTGTCAGCTAGCATGTTACTAGTCACACAAGTCAGCGCCTCGCCTGTCGCAAGTCACCAGCGCCCTACCACTCACCTGTTGCCA